TCATCTCTCTCTTCGTCATCAACCCTGCCATACCCCATCAGACAATACTCTCTCGCCAACCTCCACCCGCCAATCGCATCATGGGCGCTCAAATCCTCGGGGTCAAACTCGGCCAAATCCCTGCCGTAAACCCAATCCAACTGCCCATTAGGGTCATACACCCCCCTCTTGCTAATCTTCATCTCCTCGTCGAACCACATGATGGGGTACTGCCTCTCGCCAACTTTCTCCTGCCCATCCTGGTAGCCATCCGCCCACTCGAGCTTGCCCATGTAGAAGCGCGTGCAAGGCGGCATCTCGGCCATGAGCCCCGTGTTGAGGATCCGGCCCTTGATATGGTAAGGTGTGAAATCGGAGCCGGGAACGACGACGAGGGCCCAGGGTTTGTTGTCCCACTTGGCTTGGTAGACCGTGCCGGGGGTGGGGTTTAGGATCCCGCCCGGTGAGGTCCGAGTTGTGGATGTAGAGGGGACTGTCTTGGGCCGCTTGGAAGGCTGTTCTTTTGCGGCTTCATCGTCAAGGTTGTTGGCATCACCGTGGTCGGCATCGGTGTTGTTGGCATCGCCATCGCTGGAAGAGTAAAAAGGGTTATCGCGGCGACGCTTCGACGGCTTCGAGGAGATGTTGGCGGGCGTCGCGATGGCAGGGCTTGGGCTTGGAGAGGCATCCATGTTTTCGGCCGGAGGGCGGCGGTTTGCAACGCCGAAGTTGGCGAGTAGGCCGGAGCTACTCCCGCGAACCGAGCGGAAAAGGTCCATTTCGGAGGATGCTTGTAGAAGGCGCGCCCAGTCGCGGAAGGGCAGTTATTAAGGCGTGGGTTTGGTTAGTTGTGGGAAAGTGCTATCTTGCTCTTTGTTGACCCTGATCTTTTGTTGGCTTTTGTGTGTTGTGGCGGCAGTGTCTGAGAAAAACGGCCTTCACTGGGATGTGGGGCAACCGTGCTCTCGGTGTGTTTCGTGCCTGAAATTTTGAGATGAAAATCAACCAGAATGTTCTGGACAACAATCTACTTTTCGTCACGGAGTGGCATGCCAAGCACAGAAATCAAAGAGCTTGAATGGTAATTAGCCCAAGTCACCCTCAAGCCAAAAAAACAGCATGCCTTACAGTTAGTTATAGGCTCTTGAACTGGGTTGATCCACTTAGCTTTTCCTGTTTTACCAGACCATGTGAGCAAAAGCCTCCAGGCTTCTGGATAGTTTTTCAAGGCGTCTGAAATATAACTCAATCTTTACGAGTTTTAGCTCTACACCGGATCGAGGGCGAATGGGCGGGTTAGCGATGTATAAGTAGCTGCTCGGCTGCATGGAATTGTATGTGGGCTGGTGGTTGAACAAATAGGCCCTTTGCACGTCTTGGGAAAGCTTGCAAGGGCAAAAGTGAGCAGTGCTAAAGAACAAGTAAATCCTCTCGGCATTATTACTCTGAGCACCTGGCTATTACAATGATCTGAACGCCTGATTCGTATCCTTCCCTTGCCTTTGAACTCGGAACATATTTGAACATCTTCGACCCTATTATCACTCCTAGCCATGTTTACCTCCCCTCCCCCTCGCACCTGGGAGAATCCAGTCTGCCTTTGGTTGTGAAAGGTAACTCATGTGCGGATTTTGTGGCGTGTACATTCGAGAGGTAGAAAAACCCCACTCCCGCACTGTGATCTCCCCTCCAGCTGCACCATCGTCCATGGACCGGAGGAAAACTGAGTCCATCTCGCCGGGCAGCGTGCTGTCGTTTGTTTCAACTTCGTCGAGCTCAAATTGGTCGTGAATGTAGTGTGGTACCTCCTGGGCTGAAGCACGACGATGGGGGCTCTGGTGTATAACCGGGAGGCCACGTTGTGGACTGGATGGTCCCTTTGTCTTGCATGGTTGTTTGTCTTCTGTTGCCGGATCCCGTGGCCTCCGTTCCCCTTGCTTCATCACCCTCTCGCAAAATTCTCGCGCCACAGCGACGCCGTCCACTCTGCCCGTAACGTTGAATGGGTCCAGTGGCTGAAGGTCCTGGGCAGCTCTCCACTCGAGACGGTTCTCTTGCAGTTGCAGAAGACCTTCGGGGGAAAAGCATGTTTCTCTGTTGAAGAATAGGACTGGGTACTGGCGTTCGCTAACTCGGGGGCCGTTATCCTCAAACCCGTTAGCCCACAAAAGCCGTTCATCATGCCGCTGGAAGCAACTTGGGAGGGCTCCGCAGCGGGCAAAGCTGGTGGTGTGGAGGCTGCCTTCGACTCCAATGTGTTCGAGATCGCCAAGAGCCAGGAGAAGAACTGCAGAGGGGTACCCTTTCTTGATGCTGTAAACGTGTCCCGCGATAGGGTTGGTGACACTGCCAATGAATGTTGAGCCCGGCCTTTGCTTACTGTATGGTAGCGCCGTCGGTGTCTTAAGAGCTTTGGAGGGCCTTGTCTCCTTGAAGGCTTTGGTCCTTTTGTCTACGGGTCGGGCGATCAAGCTGTTGTTCAGGATGGCCTTGTCTTCGGTGCAGTTCAGGACGCGGACACCGAGCGCCTTGACCACCACCTTGCCGGCCCTGCCTGGGTGTCCGTGATCGGCCGTGTCTATGTGCCTTCCTGCGCCCAGAATAGGGCTACGCCCACTGCTGCCAAAGTGGAGCCCGTGTTCCTCGCAGCGGAAGATGTACCATTCGCCACTAGACTTGGGGAACTCTTCGATGATGTAGGGGATTTTGGGCTTGCCGTTTTGGTAAACATCGTCAAACTCGATCGATCGAGTTGGGGTACCAGTCTCCGGCCGACTTGATTGACCGTCGACCGTCGAGTCATCTTGTTCCTCTCCATCCTCCTCTTCCTCCTCTGCGTCTTCGTCCTCGTCCTCGTTCTCGTCCTCATTAGTGTTGTCCGGCTCCGTTTCATTCTCCGAGGGCTCATCTTCCTCGTCAGTGAAACCCAGGACGGCCCAGACGTCAATGAAACTGGAGGTCTTGGTGACTTTGCGATTCGAACGTCTGGGGTGATTCCTCCTGATGTCAGGACTCGACATAATGACGTTCTTTCGAGGCCGGCCTCTGCGTCGTCGTAACTGTCTGGGCTGTATGCTGATTTCTGGACTTGATGGTGGGGCGTCGTCTGAAATCTGAGGTTGGGGTTCCTCAGCTTCAGGCTCTTCGACCTGAATCTCTTTCTCTACCCGGGACTCCTCGACCTGCACCTTCTCAACCCGGACCTTCTCGACTCGTAATTCCTCGACAAGTGTCGTGTCGGACTCTACTTCGGCAAAGAGTGGAGCGGGAGGAGGAGCTCGAAGACCGCCGCCTTGGAGCAGCCCAAGCTGCGTGGCTTCCCATTCCTTGAATTTTCTCTCCAAAAACCTCTCGTGCTCCACCTGCTTCGCAACCAACGCCTTTGCCTGTTCCTCGTGCTCAGCCAACTGTTCTCGGATCTCCCGCAAACGAATTTCGTTGGCCTCGACGACGACTTCACAATCGCGCTTCTTGCGCGCGATCGTTTTCGCCCTCTCCTGCAACTGCTTGATCTTCCTCTCGATCTCGTCCTCCTCCACCTCAAAACTCTTGCGGTCAGCCTCGCGCGTCGCGTTGTTGGCGAGCCTGTCGCGTATCTCGACCTGGAGCGGTGTGGCGGCGCCCTGAAGTTCAGCTTTGCGCTGTTCCGTCCTTTTGCGGCTGTCGGTCACCGCGTTTTCGTACTCGGCCTTTGTGCGCTCGGCCTGCTGGAGACATTCTTGAAAGAATGCGACAATGTCGCCTGGACTGCCGTTGTTCATGGTGCATGGCGCGGTTGTAAAAGGAAAAGAGAAAGCAAACAAGGACGTGGAAAAACGTCAGGTGGGCGAGCGCGCCCCACAGGTGGTGTGGGTATGTTTGCTTTTTCGGCGCGAGCTACGGCAGGGGGCCGGTCGGCCCAGGTGCAAAACGCCTGTGCGATAAACAAGCGAACAGGGCGGTTTTCAGTGGAGACGGGGAAGCCACGAACGGGGAGGACGCCAATGGAGCGTTGGAAATTGGTGGAGGTGGAAATTGGATCACTGTTCTCCTGGGTGGTGATCCACCATCGTCTGCGAGCTTTCCCCTTCCGGAAATCACACGACCGCAACCGCGAGCTGTGCGCAATTGAGAGCCCAAGTATTATGCAGTATGTATATGAATTCCCCATTGACGTTCCTCTAAAGTTGCCGTGAGTCCAGTTGTCACTTCCAATTTCACTCCGGGATCTCATCTTCATGGTCACCTTCATCTTTCCCCCTCGCTCTCGACCTTGCTGTTTTCTGCATCATCAGGCTGGGTGAGCAAGCAACCCCCAAAACCCGGGAAGATGTACCGAACTACCGGTGTACATTCGCAGGTTGCTCGGCACCAAGCATGATCCGAGATGGCGCGGTTGAAAGCACACCAGGTGTTGTGGTCGAGGCAGGCGGCCAGCTGTCTGTTGGTGCAGAAGAGAAGGCGCTGGCCAATTTGAGGGAGAGAGAATGCATTTGCCAGGCGGAAAGGAAAGAACCCCTCCACTCGTGTTTGCCTGTTTCCAAGGGAAGGAGCGACTTGCGGTGGTCACCGCCATGTCGCCCAGGTTGCTGCGAGTGCCAGCCAAACGGAAGGCGCAGAGCTTGCTTCGGTCGTGCTCATTGGTTGCTCACACAACCAATTGCCCAGCCCATTTGGAGGCTGGTGGATCCGCCAATAACAAAGCAGAGAGCGTTGCACAACAGCCCGCCAGCATCAAGGTCCGTGGAAAACGCCGTCATCTTGGGGGAGTCCAGCCAGCTTGCCAACACTCGGCTACAAACGGAAGAGATGCGCCCTCACCTCAGGCGCCGGAGACTCAAACGGGATTCTCGAGTCAGCAAAGCGACAAGAAGGGCGATCACCCACATCCCTCAGGACTTTCCGGTTGCTCCCAAACCAAATCTGCCCTAAAACACACCGCCTCCGCAGCGCAACCCTCGTTCTAAAGCCCACTTCCTCCCCTTGGACTGACCTGAAACTTATATAAGCTTCTTAAGGGAGCACAATTCGTATGATTCATAGGCCGTGTGGCGTAATGGCTAACGCGTTGCTTTCCGGTGGCAAAGACTCCAGGTTCGAGTCCTGGCACGGTCGATTCTTTTTGCGACCCCCTTATTTTTAGGGGACGGTGGGCCAATGCTGCGCTCATATGGTGAAAGTGTTTCCAAACCCTAGTGTCATAGACTGTCCTGTTTTGGAACGAGGGACCCCCCCTATCTGCTCAGACCTTTCCGGGCTTCAGCTTTGTTGCCTTGGCAGACAGCTCTCCCCAAGCCAGGCCGTTCATTACTGTTCTCCAACAAACTTGAGCTAGTGCACCTATCAACCCCGTACTCACTTCCCCCGATTCGTCTTTACATCTTCAGCCCCCGCAGAATCACTATCTTCCTTTCCTTTGCTTCCAGCATCAGTCTCTGACACTGTGCACACGGCGAATGCAGGGTTACAGGTCTATACAGGAATGCAATCGCAGTTGTCTTTACACCACTGGTTTGGCCCAACCGGACGCCCAAACGCGCACCACGTCTGCAGCTCGATGCAATTGTGTAGTTGGCCATGTGTGCAATTCATGTAATCGTCATATTACCGCTTCTTTTCGCTCGCTGCACTCCCCGGAGCTGCCATAGCGGTGCGGGGCGATAGAGCGAGGGTGAGCAACAAGAATGGAGTGGAGTGCTGGATGTGTCGTGTCAGTAGAAATCATGGTGGAGAAGGTACCTAGTGGAACCCAACCCTTGCTGTTACCTTTATTGTTGACCGACGTAGTGTGGACGAATAAGTTGCAAGTATTGCGCTAAGAGTCGTAGCTGTCATGTCAATAGAAAACAGGAAACGAGGTATTATATATATATCCCAAACCTTAATCTGTCCCGCTGTTCTCGACATCGGGCACCTCCTCTGGTCCGGCACATTCGTCACCTTTCAAGTTTGCCTGGCTGACAGTCAGCTCGCCGACGTATCCACCATTGCCATACTTTGAGGTCTTTGGATTCGAGTGAGGCAATTAAGTCAATGCATGCCAACACTTTGTGCTGGCCGGATCGAAATGGCTTCCGCAGCGGCACGGGATTGCCCACGAACCCATTTCTGATTATGCGCCGCCAACAGCGCCATTCCCTCTGGCGGCTGGGATGTCATCCAATCAACAACAGCTGTTGGTTCATAATGATGCTATTCTCTGCATCCAGGAGTTGCATATGCAAGGTATGCTCTCCGGTTAAATACACCCCGAACAGGTGGTGTCGGGCCGTTCCCGCCGCTCGGAAATCGCGGCGCCTCCCGAGCCATCTGTCATGGGGTACTGTATAGGTCTTGGTTCCCAGTCCAGATTGATACTCAGTCCCCCAAACCGCATTCCCAGCCTCTCTCTCCGCCTTAGGACTGTGAGTCTCCCCATTTGCCGTGTTTGTTCCGCCTACGACGTTTCTAACTCGAGGCTTGCTCAAGTGCTTGACAAGAATCACGATATTCATCATGACCAACACACCAAGTGAAGAGCCTCGGGGCCAATGCACGAGCTCGAGGCCCTCGAGGCTGCCATGCCCCCAAGTCAGTCCTGGACTCTCGACGGCTATCCCATAGTCGATGGCAGATATCACGACCTTTCCACCGGGGAGATCAAGACCCACACCGGTGCATCGAGCTCAGGACCGCCCTCTATTTTTGCGCATTGGCACAACCGACTTATGACTGGACGAACAGACCAGTTCCTAGCTACGAGCAAGGTGGCGCCCACGAGGGACTTGACCGAATACATGGCTAGAATCGGGGACTTGCTGCGGAAGGGAGTTTGCAAGGTGGACGCGATCAACGCAATGAAATACAACGTCTACGTTATCGTCTGGACGGAACTTTCCCGGGACGGTTTTCGGGCTGCTTTGTATGAGCATATTCTTTTGTAGTTCAGCTGCCATCTCGACTGCTCATTGTTGCTGTTAAAAAAGAAAGGGAAAGCAAAAGAGCCCGTTCAATCTGACTCGCCCGTCTCTTCCTTCTCGCTGACAACTTCCTCAATCTTAACTCCCTCAACCTTGAGTGAAATCCCAGTTCCCCGACTAAAACCCTCTGCATCCCCAGCTGTACACCACCGCGCCGAAAACGCCACCTCACAGTCATAATTGATCTGCTTAAAGAATTCCCATGGGCAAGTCGCATTCTCCCAAGTATTCACACTCGTCCCGCAGAACAAGTCCCCCGGGAACGCTGACCTTCCTGCGGGGACAGTATCGTTACAGTACCAAGTTTGATTGATTCCGAACGTATTCGCGGCAGCATCCATCTGGATGTATGTCGTTATAAGGGGGTCATCGGGGCAGGCGAGCCAAGGGGTGGTGTTGTTTTTGATGCGTGGCCAGGAGAGGTTACAGACGGTGGTGTGGTTGATTGCTTTGTTGGTTAGCTGGACATCGAGAGTCTGATCGACCGGGTAGGAGTGTTGATTCTTGGGCCGATAATGGTGGCGGTAGTGAATCGGTAGAAGAAGCGGCTGATGTTCCAAGTGGTTTCAAATTCTGGATAAACGGGCTTGGAGATACGAAGGCAAGGTACCGGCATTGTTGGTGGTTAGGGTTGTGTTTTCGGTGGGTTTTGTTGATGCTGCGCTTGGAGAATTTGTCAAAAGGGGTGAGGGGGACGGACACGGACATGGTAGCTGTTGTATGTACTAACTGCTGCTGTCCCCGCGCGCAGAATATTGCCCAGTTTCCGGGAAAAGACGGCGGACAGAACCTGGATCGCTGTACCGCTCTAACCAATCAGTGGTCAAAGATATCGATGCATTCAACCATTACCTCTATCGAAATCCGAATTCCGCTGTTGAGGGAACTTCGCGGCAATGCTTGACCACATACATGCTGACATCAGAAATCACAACGGCGAGCATACCTCCGCACTTGCGGTTAAAGTCACAGAAGCAGGGGAGCGAATGGATTCCAGGCCATTGTTTCCCAATATCCGGTCAACCGTCATGATGCCTCGGTGGGAAAGCGGGAGTTGTCTATAAGGTTGAAGCAGTTCTTCGCCAAGAACTGATACGTCAAATGAGTTTAATTTGCAAATGGGTTGACTTTTGAGTGTGGAGACAGACCCAAAGTTGAGTACGAAATGTGATGCGAAAACTGGACAGGAACCAAGTGTGAAATGTCGGAATGCATTTACCCGAAGCCTAAGTCTCAGGATCGTATGGGGTCTTCGACCTCAAAACACACGTGCACATCCCTAAACACAACGGTGATGTGACTCAGCGATCTAGGGAGGTTGGTCTATCGGCTGTGGCGGAGCAAGACCCGTTGGTTGTATATCTCAGGCGCAGTAAATTTTCTCATCCAGGCTTCCATGCAGCTTTGCGGCACGGGCAAGTCAACCTACCAGGTATATATCCAAACGCCCTACTCTCACAAGAACCTTCATGCTTCCTACCGAACCAAATTCAACACGGCGACAGACAAAAAACCAAAAAACCAAAAAACCAAAAAACCAAAAAAAAAGAAAACATGGACGAAAAAGGCACCCCGCAAGTGCCAAAGCGAGCTTCGCGTCTCAGGCGCCGGCAGGCATATACGTATCTGTTCCTGCAGTCAATCGTTGCTTATATCCTTCTTCGCCTTTACTTCCATCCACACCTCCCCGGCCATTATTGGACCCGCCGTGCGCTCATGTATGCCGCGGACTTCGCTTTGTTTATCGTTGTAAAGAAGCAATATTTGGCTCTAGCCGGGCGCCCTTTTTGGCAGCTAAGCCGGTGGTATCGATTCTCTCTCGTCCTTCTCCCGGCCTGGATTGTCTCGTGGGTACTCGGTTCTTGCGTGAATGGATGTCCCGACATCTGTCCCGCATCGATGGCTCCGCCCCCCAAAATGCACGGCGGAACTCTACGTGGACGTGGACGAGCGGAAGGGATATGAGGGATGGGATTGCGAGCTAGGAACTTCTATCCGGTTAGGAGATAATTGCGTTTGCATGCACGGTTCTTGTACGCAGAGTGGAGAGAGTTGACAGGAGGATGAATCTAGGTTATGTAAATGTGGTACATTGTTGATTTTCACAGGTGCTACGGGATGGGATACTTTCAATGGGGATGGATATTAACCCCTTGGCATATAGAATGCGATACAACCGCGAGCCCTATTACCTAGTTGATAGGCCTAGACACATCCTGTCTAAACGCCCTCAACTCTCAACCAAAAATGCCTCGCATCTCCCCACCACGCAGCGTTCGGATCTAATCCGGTATATGTGGAGACCAGCAAGGCCAGCCGAAACGCACTCCCGATCTCCCACAGGGGAAGAAAATGGCCGATTTCTCTGAGTCGCACGCAGAGACCACCTGAAGTGGAGCTTCTCGGGGATCGGCAGACTGACTTGAAAGTCAAGTGTCAAGTTAAGGCGTTGTGACCCGCCAAACCAGAACTCGATCACCCATACTCGCCACGGTTGCGGTACACCGGCGGAAAACTCCCGCCGTGGTGTATTATCAAGCGATGCAGGTGTACTCAGTGGCGGAGGCCGAGTGATTTGCTGACCAGCCGGTACGATAATGGGAGTCATTCCATCTTTCCAATGAACTAGAACTCAATCATATAGGTCCGCGAGCTTGATCTGCTCTCCTGAGGAATCTGGCAGGGGTGTTCAACTTCTGGCGCCAAGCCTGTCGAGCCTCTAAAAAAAAGAGAGCGAAACGCCTCCAGCGACACTCCTTCGCATTGGGCAACCCGACTGCTATAAAGTAAATCACACATTGGATAAGCGATCATATGAAAAAGATCAAATAAATTATTTCCCCAATATAACCTGTAGCAAAACAATTGAAGCTGCTGAAAGTGACACACACACAGCGGATGGATCGCATCGGATTTTCTGTATGGCATGCCCCTGCCCCTGCATGAACCCAAATCTCCGACCCCGCCTCACGAACATGGCCATCTTCAACATTGACAAAATGACCAAAAAATGCCGCCCCTCTACACCCCGCTCAGCCACCCTCACAAAGAAATCCGTCTCCTGACCCTCGCCCCAACCTACACACTCACAACCTACCCAATCGCTATCGCGCCACCCTTCACCGCCCTCTCCTACGTCTGGGGATCGCCCACCGA